TTTTTATAATAATAATAACAACAACAAGAGCTACCACTTAGTGAAGCACTCTGTGCCTGATGCTCTGCTAAGCACTTCACATATATTAACCCATTTCATCTTCTCAGCAACTCTCTGAGGTCGTAGGCATAATTATCTCCTTTCTAGATGAGAAAAATGAGGGCAAAGATATGAAGTGTCAAGCTCAGGATCACAAATCCAGGAAGCTGTGGAGCCTAGACTCTCACCACTAAGCAAGCTCTACCACCTCCCCATTTCAACTTGAATTCCACTGAATAAAATAAGGGGTGGTTGGAGAGGACACTCAGAAGGCCCTTTGCCTGGCCCCACACTCTCCCCCTTCCCACACACACATTGGAATGGGACAGGGCCCAGAACTCCTAATCCTGGCAGGTTTGGACAGCTCAACTCAATGTCTGAAGGTGTTAAAATAGAACCAGAGGACCCTGGAACTTGGTGTTAGAGACCTCCGTTGCGATAATTTCTCCACTCTGTGACAGGAAACCTCTCTGAGCTTCAGCCTTGTTATCTATAAATGAAGATTACCATAAAAACGCTGGCCTGGACTCAAGGATGATGAGCATCACTTGAGTAAAGACACGTGAAGGCTTGTTACAAACTGGGAAGTGGGTAAAGAATCTTATCATCATCATCATCATCATCACCACTATCATCATGCTTTATGTACTCTTAGCCTCTCCATCCTCATGACTTGCCCTCAAGTATTCCTACCTAGCTTAACCTCGTTTGGCCATCCCAAAGCCTTCCTTAATTAAACGCCCTAGGATAATTAATCTCGGGTCTCGCCACTTACATAAGAAAGCAGGAAAGAGCTTCTGCATCAGGACTTTGGGATAAGTGCCTCCGAGCCAAGGCTTTGTAGCGCTGCCAGCGACGGAAGTTCTCATAAACACCCTTGGAGGTATAGGAGAGGTCACCCAGTGCCGGCTTGGACTGGGCTGCTGCCAGGCCTCCTTCTCCGGTTGCTCCATGTGGCCCTGGCCAAGCCTTTTCCGGAGACACAATGGGGACCAGGTGGGCAGCTGGTGGTGGAGCCTGAGCAGGAAGGCTTGGGGGGCCCTCCTGGCTCACCCCAACAGCCTCAGTGGGCAGAAGGGTCTTCATGTTAGAGGCTGTCACAAATTGAGGGGATGGACCTTCAGGGCCCCCACAGGGTGCACCTGAGGCAATCCAATTGTGGGCAGTCTGAGTAAGGATAAAGTTATGAATTTGAGAGGACTCAGCTGCCCCTCCTTCTTTCTTGACTTTGACAATGACCTTGCTGGCTTCAGCTCCGCTGTGGCCAGGGCCCCCATCTCCTGTCACCAACAATGGATTAGGGAAAGCAGAGAGCATCAGAGGGTTGCCTGGGGGTAAAACTGAAGGCAAGGGGGGCTGTGGAGGCAGCTCCCAGGGTGGCTGGTCTGGTGGGCCAGGAGCGCATGGGGGAATGGGAAGTGTAGTGAAAGGAGACAGCGCAGTGCCAGGTTTCAAGGTTGTATCTGGTACAGGCAATGGAGATGCTGTTGAGACAAAGAAAAAGAGGGAATGCAGTAGGAGAAAAGCAGACCAGAAACTAGGTTATCAGAGTTCCACCTTAGTCCTTGAAGAATCAGAGCTCTGATTCTCAACAGGTGAGGAATGGCACACGGAGGGGGACCTTGCGTAGTTTGCAAATGTCCCTCAAGTGATTCTGATGTCCCTTACTCCCAGTTGAAAATTATTGCGCTAGAGAAGTTGCAATGACCCTTGGCCTCAAGAGCTCATACTCCATAACACAGCCCATTCAGAATATAGGTATGTCTCTTATTCCAGCACATTCCAAACACATTTAAACCACCTGAATGCTGCTTTCAGCTGCTCTGTGGTCCCAGCCACCACTCACAGAAGCACTGTTCCCAGGAGGGGGATGTGGATTAAATGTTTGGTTCTCAGAAATCTTGTTATATAATAGCTTGGAATGACTAGAGATAAGGGCCAGGAAACGGGTGAGGGTGGGGCAGTGTGGGATGGGAGTTGTCCAGAGCCTTACATAGCTGCTGTACATGTCAAAATTTAGCGATGCAGACTATCTATGGTCTTTCTGCTTAGAGTTGCTATCAAAAATGTAGGATCCACCGAGAACAAGGCACTGACAATGAAGTCAAAAACACAGTACCTGCTAAGGAAGAGCTGTGTGAGCTCAAAAAGACCAAAGACAAATACATAAAACATTACTTAATTACTGAATCAGGACATGTGTCTCCTAGGACTTTTTATAATAATAATAATAGATCATCTGCCTAATTTCATGCTACTCTCATCCTCCTTATAAAGAATCCTCCTTACATACTAACGACACTCAGCTTCTGCTCCCTGACCTTGAAGAAGACAGGGAATATGAGTAAACTCATCATCTCAACCATAGGGTGGGTCAGGAGTTCAGACAGAGTGAAATGGGTCTGAAGGGCCAAGTTCCACAAAAGGTAGAAAAATTGAGAGCTTCTCAGGGAAGCCCTGGCTCTCATCCTGACAGCAAGGACCGACCTCCCTTGGCCCTGGGGGAATCAACAAAAACTACTCCCTGGACTGAGAAACCATCTGTGGGGCTGGAAGGAGCCGTGAGACTCTGGGCAGAGGCACTTAGAGCACCTTCCAAGCTAGCTTTCAGGAGGACATTTCTCCATAGATTAGGCAGCAGATAACCCCACTGAACAGCTTTTCCAGCAAAGGCCTCCACCTCACCCAACTCCACACACCCCCATACATTGAGAGTGGCCCCAGCTCAGTTCTCTCACCACAAAATTCTGAATCAAGCTCCAATTACCTAAAGAAGATACAGGAACTTGGGCCTTCCCCTTGAACCAACTCTGTGCCACATATACCACACACGCTCCTGTCTCCGCCACACAAAAACATGTTGAAGGGGTCCCTCTTCTAGAGGCTAATTGCCATCCCTTCTCTATCTATGCCTCAGTACTCTCTTCTAAGGTGCTTTGATCCACCTCCCAGGAGGCTCTCTTCCTTCCCCAAACCCCAGTCTTAATGGTACAATTTCCTTTCCCTGCCGCCCCAAGTGTGATGCTTTTGGTGGTGTCTAGTACTCTCACATTCCTCTAGGTTAGAGCAAAGTGCTCATTCCCAGGTAGTGTCAAATTTGAATTTCCAAGGACCCTCCCTGCCACCTGTAGACTTACCTCCATCTGAAGTCATCCTCTCAGGGTTGGGCACCAACCGTGGCTGTTTGGAAGCCTCCAGAATGAGAAAGTCAGGTCCAGGACCCAGAAAGAAACCTGGCTCCACTAGATACACAGGGATCCAAGGAGGGCAGGGTAAAGATCAGATCAAAACAGAACTAGAATCTAGGACTCAAGGCATTCTGCAGTGGGGGAGGGGAGAGGGGAATGTGAGGTGGGGGTAGGAAGATATTCCACAAGGGGCTGGTAAATTGTCACTAACCAGGCATTCCCAACAAACCAGAGCATGGCAACACAATTGCTGTGTACCTCTTTAGGGCAATTTGTAAATTCTTTCTTAGATTCCCAACATTATAGTTTTACATCTCCATTCCCTATACAATTCTTCCTCAATATATTTAATTTTGTGCCATTCAATCCCACCCAGTTCTGTAAATGACTTCCTATTAACAGCAGGTTGTGGTAGACCCTAGATTTAAGTCAATGTTGACTATGTTTTCTGAACCAAACTCAGAACACATAGTATGTGTACTTAACTATCCAGGGAATGGAATATCTGAAATTAGGATTGTCTCGAAAGATCCAGAACATTTGGTTGCTGTATGCATATCATTTCCTTGGAAAGCTGATCGGTATGTAGTTCCCAAACAGTCCACTACCATCAGCTCTGCAGTCCACAGAAGGCTCAGCCTTAAACCTTGACTGAAAAGCCCCACACTACCAAAAACTGGCATTTAGCCTACAATATCAAGACCAAAAAGTCCTTTTTATCTGTTAAATTATTTTTGTTGTTGAAAAGGTTTGTTCGAAAATTTTAATTTTTTAATGAGTTACTACAATAGTGTTGTTTCAAAGTAAAAGTATGCAAAATAGTACACCACAGTCTCCCTCCCACCACTTTCTTCTGGAACCCGAGTTTTTTGTCCCAAGGGAACCAATATTGTTTCTTGTGAATCCTTGCAGAGCTATTTCAGGCACTACAAGTAAATATGTCTGTATCTTTACATTTATATTTTTCTTTTTTTTTAAAAGAGCTTTCAGGTTTTTCTGGTTATAAAACTAATATATGTTGCAATGTTTTTGCGATTATAAATAATACTGCAACAATCATCTTTGTAATGTTACCTGAGTTCCAATTTTCATTTCTTTAAACTAGAGTCTTACAAGAAGAATCTCTCCGTCCTTTAAAATATTCGAAATACCCCTAGGAGATAGATCTTAGTATGCTATTATTAGTTACTCACCACTACAAGAAAGAGCGCTGAATTTGTGGTAGAGACCTGAGTTTGAATCTTGGTTCGACCACTAAAACATACTTCACCGGTTTCCTAACATAACTGCACGCTGTCTTTGGTGTACAGAATATTGGATACCCGTCATGCACTCTTTACCGCCAATACTTTGAAATAGGGCGAGGGAACCGGATGTAAAAGAGGGGAGGAAAAAAAACTTTCTTTCTTCCCTAAGGTAAAGGGGCTCTGAATCCTGGAGCCCTTTGTTTTTCCAAGCACTAGAAACCCACCGGCCTGGTAATGGATGTGCATCTTGCGATAAAGACCCATTCTATTCACTAATGTTCAACCCATATCCATCCCTATCCCCCTGTAAAGTCTAGCAATGTCTGGCACACAATGGACACATTCCAAATGGCTTAAAACGCCTGCAAGGCTGCAGCTGGCTCCAAGGCCTGCAAGGTTGCAACTTGGTTGCAACTGAGCCAAGTCCTTGCACCAGTGCGCCGCCTTCTGCTTAGCTGCAGAAGGCTCTACAATGGACTACTTTTCCCAGCATGCCTTGAGAGGGACTTCCGGCTACACGGGAAGGAAGTTGACAAACACGTGAGGTCCGTTAAGTCTGACCGGCAGTCGGAGTTGGAACCTCCAGTTTGGGCGTGATCATGTTTCTCCAGTATTACCTCAATGAACAGGGAGACCGGGTCTATACCCTGAAGGTGAGAAGAGGGAACAGGTTGTAAGTGGGCATGGCGAGAAACATCGGTGGGAGAAGAGGCTGAGACCGGCCACCGAGTTGCCTAGCTGGGTGGGGGAAACTAGGCAGCCCAGCGGCCAGGCGCGGCAGAAGCTGGAGTGTGGGATTATTCTGACCTTCGCGCCTGCCGCCTCCCTGTTTACCCTTTGTCGTGCGTTCCCCTCCCTGTCCCAACCTCCATCTCCCTTATGACGCCAGTGATTGAGTTTTCTCACCACTTCTGTACTGAGATTATGTCCTCTCTCTCTCTTTCGAACAGAAGTTTGACCCTATGGGACAACAGACCTGCTCGGCCCATCCTGCTCGGTTCTCCCCAGACGACAAATACTCTAGACACCGAATCACCATCAAGAAACGTTTCAAGGTGCTGATGACCCAGCAACCGCGCCCTGTACTCTGAGGGTCCCTTAACTTTCATGTCTTTCCTGCCGCCTGCTACCCTCTGAGACTTTCCGAAACCAAGCTCTTCAATTTGTGAGCCTTGAAGCCGTCTTCCCAAACTTGCTTCTTGGAATCCGGTGTCATCATTATCTTTGATCATGCGCGTGCGAGGCGATCATGGTTAGCACCACTTTAAAGGGAACAAGTTTGAATCTGTTTTTCATATTTGACTCACTGTCAGGTTATTAAAATGATTTGAAAAAGCATTCATTTTACATGTTGTGGGGAGAAAAGAGTGGTTTTAAAAAAGAGGGAGATGAAAGGGAAGAATAACCCACGGATAAGAAACAAGGGGTACGCTTAGAAGAAATTATTAAGTAGCTGTTGTAGCAGTCGTGCTGTACCGTCAGTGATAACAGGGTGTTGGGGAAGGAAAGGAAAGGAAAGGTTGAGAAAGACTTTTACGTAATTGTCAGCATTCACTGAAAAGTATTCCTGTGATAATATAAGTAATTTCTTGACCCTTGAAATGACATTTTGACTCAAAATGGAAGAGTTTTTTGACAAATAATAACTATTGTGAAGCGAAGGCAGTGATTTAGGAGTTGGGAGACCAGGATTCTCCCCTCTTTGTATAACTTTTAAGAAAGTCACTTAACCTATTTAGTCCCACTTTCATTATTTCCAAGTTCTCTTTCAATTCTAAAACTGATTGGGTTCAGTGGTGGACCTTAATATATCTACAGTGTTGTCCAACTGTTGTGAATAGGAATGCCCCTGTGCATATATCCTGCTCCTCTGGTAATAGTCCCAGTCTAACTGTATTCTCGCTGGCAGCCAGCTGCTATGTGGAACACGAGGTGCATCTTAATTTAAAAGATAACATAACGAGAGATTCAAGAAGGGATTCTGTTATTTTTCAAGCTACTGTTGAGGGTTAACAACAACAAAAAAATGGAGATTTCAGAGGACTTGAGTGGCTGTCATGGGGGCAACCATAAATTTTTCATTCAATTGCATTAGTGGGAAGATGAGGCAAAGTACTGAATATGGGCATTCAGAAAATGCTAGCTTGCTTTTCTTTCTACAGTACCTCTCCTTGTCAGGTTAATTGACTCATTTCCCAATCTTTTCATTTGTGGCTTTTAACATTGCATTTGAATGTTTGCTTAATGCCACAGATTTAAAAATTGTTTTGTGGAGATTGTGTTCTAATTATACAATATTTTTCTATTACATCAAAATTCTAGACTCCAGAAGCAGATGTAACCTAAATCAGAGCAAATTTGATTTATTTAGACTGGCCTTAAAAGGGGTAGATATGTTTCTCTTGGAATCTGATGTCTGACCATCCCAGCAGAAAAGTTAAGCATATTTGTTGACTGCTGAAGAAAAAAAATTCTAAACTTGGGTCATAGTTGATGGAAGGTGTGATTTTTAGATCAATTACTTTAACATACGGAAATAGAGAAATGAAATACTTGTTTTCTTTTGAGCAATTTTTTATTTCTTACCCATTCACTTACAGGGTTCTTAGTAATGGATCTGACAGATTTTTTTAAAGAGTTATCCTGTTCTATTAAGGAGATAATGATGTTAAAAATTCTTCAGGTGGCCAGAAAAAAGATCTGCTGTAGAAGTTTCTTAAGCACCAGTCAGTTAATTAAGTCTTCCAATTTTTAAAAAAATGTTGACTGTAATCCTATCTTTATATAGTTTACTGCCCCTCTCCCATCCACCCCCCGCCCCCCAAAACAGGGTTAACTTTAGTCCATTCTGTGTTCTGTGTAGACTGAATTGAAAAGAATTTCACCTGGAAATATTCTGAATTGAAGTAGAGGAGAAAGGCAAATTGGTCTGAACATACCAAGGATTTTTTTTCTTAAGACAGCCCCTAGCTATTAACATCCAAGGTATGCTCAGAAACAGAAACGTCTTAGGAGGTTTAGTATGTTGGTATTAGGTAGCCTGTATGCATACGTGAACGAAAATACTGTGCAGTATAAAACAAAATTGGATGTAGAATTCCAGTATTTTTTTTTTAAAAAAAACTTTATTTTTAGAGAGGGGAAGGGAGGGAGAGGGAACCATCAATGTGTGGTTGCCTCTCACACCCTGCCCTACTGGGACCACAACCCAGGCATGTATCCTGGCAGGGAATTGAACCAGCGACCTTTTGGTTTACAGGCTAGTGCTCAAGCCACTGAGCCATGCCAGCCAGGAGGAATGCCAGTATTAATTTATAAAGGGAAAGTCTCTGAGATTTCAATGATCAGCAGGCCTACCTAAGAAAACACTGATCCCTCAGGGAGATATATTTCTTGTTTCTTCGAGTTAGAATAAATAGGCACAAGTTTTATAAAGCATCTAGCTTTGAGGTTTATATTGTTAGTGGATGTTTCTTATTTTGTTACCTGGATCTTTTTAGTTGGTTGTCATTTGATAAAGAATTTCCTGGCTCAGTTTTTAAATACAGTTGATTGTTGCTAACGGTGATGCTTAAACATTTCCTCCTGGGTAGACAGCAAGAACACCAGCAAGCCAAGGTCCATATTGTTATATTTAAATGTCTTGATCAAAGTTACAGGAAATAACTCTCAAAAAAAATCACCGATGAGCCAAAATATATTGAACACCTCTATTGGTACATTAAATAAGCACGCTAAGAAAAATATTCTGGTGGCAATAGTAGGGAAAATACTGGGAATGGAGTCAAGAGAAAGTATCTTCAGGTCTAACACGTTTTTGTTAATGGAAAGTTCAGTCTGACTTGAAAGTGAAGATAGCGATTCTTTTCCAGCTTTATTAAGTATAGTTGACAAACTACATATTTAATAGATGTACACATGATTTAAGAGCTGTAGATACTCTGAAAGACAGCATTTTGTTTAAAGTACAGAAGAAGCGGGGAAATGTAACTGCATAACTTCAAGGATACCATGCAGTGATTTTCCACCCTTCTCATGTCATGGTATATGTAAACTAATTACTAAAATTCTGTGTCACATGAAAAAATACGTATTTCGCCAATCTGACAAAAAATATATATAATTGTGATTCATTTACACCAGATGGCTATTGTGGTGGCTTTTGTCATTTATTTGACAATCTAAGGGGAAAAAGGTCAGGGCGCCTGACTAAGTACTGCATGTTTGCTGCACACCAGTTGAAAATCGCTGATAAAATGCTTTAGATCTCTATATAAATATTCATGGAGGGTCAAAGCTAGACGTGTGGTAGTGGGAGGGTTGTGCTTTTTAAAAAAAAAAAATCGTGAATTTTCAGAGGTCCTCTTTATTAGAGTTTTGAAATTTTGAGGGCAAGGGGCAGTGCTGGTACCGGAGATGCTTCCAAAGTGAGAAAGGCGCAAAACAGTATCAAGAAAGAAAAGGATTTGTTTTGTCTGGCACTCTGGAAACGCATGTGCAAACACCGAACTACAATTCCCGTCGTGCGCCCACATTCCGCCCCGCACCCGGCATCCCTGCTGCGACTTCAGCTATCTCGCGCATGCGCTCCAGCATCTCCGTCCGGTCGGCCCGGCACAGGCTGGGCGGGGCTGCGGGCACCGGCGGGACAGTTCCGCCCTCCGCTCCCCGGCTTCTTTGGGACCGTTACCCTCGAATGAGGAATAAGCCAGGAGGGAAGGAAGGGGCTGCAGCGGCTCCGGCACAGCCCGCAGGACCGGGGTCCGGGAGCGGCGAGGTCACGTAACTGCTACTCCGGTGTCTCGTCAGGGAGGGGGCGCACTCTCGCAGCCTAAGCCCTCCTGGACGCCCTGCGGCTCCGAAACAGTTACCGGCTTGTAAACAACAGCTGCGCGCGCACCCCACATCAGCTGGCGTCGGGATCCCGCGCCGGCGACCTCCTCCTCCCCTCATTGCCGCCCCCTCCTGCGTAGCCAGGTTCAGCTTGTGAGGCCGTCTCCTCTTCTGGGAAAACGGCGAGGGGCTGACCTGCGCCAGGGACCTGGTAGGGGAGAAGGCGTCTCTCGGCGAAGGGGTAATCCGTCCTGTCACACGCAGGAGAAACCCCGGACCGTGAGCTCGATGGACTAGCAACGACCTGCCACGACCCTTAGCTGCAGTCAGCGGTGTCTTGATCTGCTCGCCGCTCTTCTCAGATCCCAGGGACCTTTCTGCGAAAAGAGCGGGCGGGCCACCCCCCACCCCGCAGACCTCTGGGAGGCATAAATCTGCTCTGCCCCATCATCCTCCTCTGCTTACCCTTCTCTCCTCATTCTCCTCTGCCCTAGTGTGGGATATTTTTCCCGTTATGCATGCGCACCTCTCCCACCAGACCCAAGTGGATTATCGGCCTCAAAAACCTCGGGTGGCTCTACACACACCTCCTCCCAGCGAGACCTGTGGGGTATTCACCTGATATACAACAGGTGGCCGGTGTACACCGTTTTTGCAATCTCTGCTCTATTTGCATAATAAGGGTGGGCCAGTGCGCACTTTGCTCAACTAAAAAACCGTGGGACATTTACCAAATAAAGGACTAACTACCTCTGCCGAAACCTGGGGGCAAAGGGGAGAAAGGCTTCACCTTCTCTAAGATCATGGCACTGAGCCCGCAGCTCTGGACCAGGAGACATAGCTAGATAGCTATTCATTCTGAAGGAACAAAGTTACATGAGATTGGCATCGTTTTGTCTTTTTTAAAAAAATATTTTTCAGCTACTGGTAGTGCACTTTCTAGGACAGTCTGCTTGAATTCTGAGTATAAAGATTCTTATTTGGGGCTCTTTGTGTGGTATAAATCAAGGTAATTGATTTTTTTTTTAAGTTTTCTATTTTTGCGATCAAAAGCAGCTGGCGTAGGAGGAAGGATTTTGCTGGTTTTTCCTTTTTTTCTTTGCCCTTATAAAGGAAAAGAAAAATGCATCCTCCAGAAACCACCACCAAGATGGCTTCGGTTCGATTCATGGTAACACCAACAAAGATAGATGATATTCCAGGTTTGTCAGACACCAGCCCAGACCTCAGCTCTCGATCCAGTTCCCGAGTAAGATTTAGCTCCCGGGAGAGTGTGCCTGAAACGAGCCGTAGTGAGCCTATGAGTGAGATGTCTGGAGCCACCACTTCACTGGCAACTGTGGCATTGGATCCGGCCAGTGACCGGACTTCTAACCCCCCGGATGTTACTGAGGGTAAGTAGAAACACAGATGTCAGGACTATTTCAGTACTGGTTTATTTACCAAGGATGGCTGTCTAATGGGAAATCGATTTTTTTCTCTTATACAGAAATCAGGAACCAAGGTACCTCTTTTTGAGATTATTTGAAATAATGGTGAGCATAGTGGCTCCCTGCAGTAGTAATTTGGCATGTGGGAAGGTATATGGCAAGAAGGAAAGATGATATTTTGACTTAAGCTAGATTTTGGAGCTTTAACTTTTACAGTCTGCTTTTAAGGCCACTTAAAAGGAGTAGCTATTGATCATGTATTAGTTATTGGCTTTCCTACAAAGACTTCAAATATTGTATCACAAAATTCTTTTTTATTTATTGATTTTAGAAAGAGAATCCTGATTTATTGTTCCACTTATGTATTCATTGGTTGCTTCTTGTACCCTGACTGGGGATCAAACCCACAACCTTGTACACTGACTTGGGAATGACACTCTAACTGACTGAGCTACCTGGCCAGGGCCTTAAAAAATTTATATTTTACAGAGACAGTGGTTCAGGTAGCTAAGCTCACTCCAGGTGAGGCTGGGTAGATTACATCAAGTGTGCTATTCTGTCTAAAAGAGAAATTCTAAAGAGGCTTTTAGGGCTTGATTCCTGCATCATTTTTTCACTTTGAACTTTGAAGTGGAATGTATTGAGTATTGAGCCTTTCTAGTCAGGAAGCAGCACACAATACACTTCTGACTTGGATTGACTACTGTAGACTTTTAGCTTCATGAACCAATTTGTGTTGGCTAGCTTGGAAGTTTTCATTGGATTTAGTGGGAAGAGAAAGATGAATGTAGGGATCATAACATTTTTAGGACTAAAGTTTGAGAACTGCTATACTGCTTTATATATTGTTTTATATTCTTTATATATTTATTTCTGTATTCTAACTAACATAGGTATGTCTGGTAATGAAAATTTCTTCTAAGAATCTTAGACTCTGAAAATGACATTCTACCCAAATTTGAAAACCTTAGCTTCAACCACTGACTTGTGAAAGCGAGGCTGACTTGCCATTTTCTAGTGTCAGGAAATATTGTTCCTCCTAACCTACAGGGTGCAGGAAACCAGAATGATCTTAGTTCCTTATTTCTGTTTGTATTTTTAAATGTCTGGAGACAAGGTAGATTTGGTAAAGTTTATACTCCTAGAATTCACTTATTCTCAACGAATCATTTATTTATTGAAAATATTGTAGGTTGGTTCCTGGACTTAACTATTTTCAAATTGACTAACTTTACACTGTGTACCACAGTGTTAAAATTACATTATGAAATAAAAAGTAATGCCTTTTCCCAAAAATTAACACTAAATTATAGGTTTAGTTATTTATTGTACTGTATTTAGGTTTTAAAAAATACCAGGTAAAGACTATAAGAGTGTTAATTTTTTTTTATTGCTGTAATTGTCACTAGATAATTTATAGTTAAGTGTTGTTAAATTTCTGGCTTACATGTTATGGAATTGTATTTGTATTTTGTTTTAAAAAGTGGGCTTGTTTCTGTAATGTGGTAGCTTTCCAGAACAGTATCCTTGGTCCGGGCTGCTATCTCACCAGTGGGCATTCTTTATAGTCCAGAATGGCATTGATTTATACTATAAGGGTAAAACTGGGGACATGTCTAGGTGAAATCTATGTTGTTTAGGTGGGTACACAAGTTAAAACTTGACTCTGTATCTAACACAGTCCTTAATATTTAAATACTCTCTAGTACCAGATGAAAGAGAATTTAACTGTCCAGCCATTGGATCACACTTTCCCCCATATTCTCAGGAAACTAATGTTCTACTTTAGTAATGATCTATCTTTCTTTCCTTCCTTCCTTCCTTCCTTCCTTCCTTCCTTCCTTCCTTCCTTCCTTCCTTCCTTTCTTTCTTTCTTTCTTTCTTTCCTTTCTTTCCTTTCTTTCTTAATTCTTAATGACTATCATCTTGTCATATATTTTCCGCACCATTAAAGGGAACTGGTTAGAAATATAATTATTTCACCTTTGGCTTTGTAGTGCCCTTGTTAGATGCAGATCTTCACAGGAGGCTGTTGTCAAGAAAATTGAGGACATGCGATCTACATTTATCTCTGGGCTGGAGTTAGTATAGAAAAGCAACTACTTCCTTTTCTGCAGTTGACTATCTTTAGGTTCGTAGTATGTTTCAGAATTGTGTTGGCTATTTTAACATTTAGAATTCTGTGATTTTTTTTTTTTTTTTTGGCCGTCTCTACGCATCCTTCTGTGGTTATGATATTGGTATGATTCTCGATCCTTTTCCTACAATCCCCATGCCTTCCATGTGGAGAAGCTTACCAGCCTAAGTTTCTTTTTTTCTTTTTTTTTTGTTAAATCCTCACCTGAGAATATGTTTATTAATTTTAGAGAAAGAAGAAGGGGGAGAAAGAGAGGGCATTGATGTGAGAGAGAAACATCAATAGTTGCTTCCCATGTGCACCTGGACCCAGGATTCAACCGCAGACTTTTGGCATTCAGGATGACGCTCCAATAAATTGACCCCGCCAGTCAGGGCAAGATTTAACTTTTAATCAGCCAAACATCTTGCGGAGACCCTGAGCCAGCCCTGCATCCTCTTTCTTCCCCTGAAAGATCACCTTTCCCCGCTCCTCTCGGGCTGCCTGGTTTTTTGGGTCTACTGCCAGAACCTTCTAGAAGTCAGGAGTTGCTTTTTCCATGTTCCCAAGGGCAGCCTGGGCAATGCCCCCTCGGTACAAGGCCTTTAAATGCTCAGGTTCTCGCTCAAGCACCCAGTTACAGCTCTCTGCTGCCAAATGGGGCTGCCCTAGCAGCAACTGACAGGCAGCCTGATTGGCATGAAGGACAGTTCGTTCCGGAGAGCCAGGTCGGGGTGAAATCAGCAGCAGCTGAAGAGACCCTCCATAGCATCGGGCAGCCCCGTCAGGGTTCCCAGCTCGAAATAATTCTGTGCCCCTTGCATGTTCTTGCATGGCCAGGGCCTCCTCCTCGCTGACCTCCAGCTCCCAGGAGTCCTGGCCCTGAGTGAAGGAAGCGAGTGTGAGCCAGACAGGAGGTCCAGAGTGCCCGGGGAGCTAAAGTTCTGCCTCTTCACCTTGACACATGGACTCCAAACATTTCTCTATGAAGTCCCCCCAGGTTTCCTTCCTCCATGGGCCTAACCCCATAGTTAGCTCTGTCCAGCCCTCTGACAACTCTGACCCAAAAGGAAACCCAAAAGCCAGTACCCAGCAGCGGGAGCCCAGATTGGGTTTGTCCAAGCCATGGCCACGGATTATGATCTTCTTCACAAAGCTCCCATCCAGAGAGTACTAGAGATCAGAAGCTTGGAGGGGCTCTGGCATCTCACTAGTTGATACTGAGATTTAATAGAGTTTTCTTCAAGTCCAGCAGCCAGTTTTTCAGTTCCTTGAGCATTCTCTAGAATTTGGCTGGCTGGACCTGGGCTCATTCTCAGCTCAAGAACTTCAGTAGGAAGCTCTTGGGGCTGCTGCCAAATTTGAATAGTTGAATCAAGGTTCTTCGTGAGATTCCCCATTGTTGTTGCAGTTGAGAGATGTCTCTCTCTCTCCAACTGGATTGATTGGTAGTGTCTCCATTTTGCTGCCTGGTCCCTTCCCCCTTAAGTTTCTTATATACCTTTTACTCACAGTACATTGCACAAGGTGGGGGTAATAAAGGAAGTGGTTTTTTTGTTTGTTTTTTATTTTTAGAGAGAGGGGAAAGGAGGGAGAAAGAGTGGGAGAGAAACGTCAATAAGTTGCCTCTTGCACACCCCCAAGTGGGACCTGGCCCTCAACCCAGGTATGTGTCCTGACTGGGAATTGAACCAGCAGCCTTTCAGTCCACAGGCCATTGCTCAATCCATTGAGCCAGCCCAGGCACACAGGAAGTTCTAAATACTTATTTCTGTTTTTTAATTTTTTTCTACTGTTGGTCTTTGGGAAGTCAGTAATTATCTTTCTGCTACCAAAGTCTAACTATTGGGTTGGCCAAAAAGTCCATTACATTTTTTTCTGTAAAATAAAATACATGTTTTTCTTTTTCACCAATAACTTTATTGATTTTGGATATGTTGAATATGTTGGCTATTTCCCACTATTGGCCTCTAGTGGGTAGAGGCCAGGAGTGCTGCTAAACATCTTCCAATGCATAAGACAACCTCACAGCAAAGAATTATTTAGCAAAAATGTCAGTAGTACCAAGAAACTTTGCAAACCACTTTTGACATATTCTGTCAGTCACAGCACCTTCTTCTTACACTGTACAAATCATTTTCTGCACTTTTACCTTTCTTGAAATAATAAAGCATAATATGCTAAAAATGCTGCATATTTTCTATCTTCAATATTAAAATGGCTGCACAAAAATTCACCAATTTTGATAAGTTTTTTTTTTCATGCACACTGATATGACAGCCGTGACAATACAATCTAACAAAATTGTATCAAATGAAGTTAAAGATAACTAAGCAATACTAGAGCCATCATACGGAAAAACATAATGGACTTTTTGGCCCAGCCAGTACTTGTTCTCCTTTCATTATGTCAGGGTTCCGTTAGAATTTATGGGACTGTCCAGTTTGTAAATAAAATCAAGACTCTTAGCACTGTATTTGCTTATGCATGAAGAATATCTTAAAGACACAGAAGGAACTGTTGAGAATGGATCTCTGGAGAGTTCTGAAAATAGAATGGAGAGTAGGAATTTTCCTTTAAACAATTCAGAAGGACATGTACAACTTTTTTATATTGAGTGTATAATTTTTATAGTAAAAAAATTTAAAGAAACATAGCATGTTAGGGAACCTCAGATAATCAAGAATCAAATTGTAATTATACCTTATTTTAATGAATGAGGAAACCAAGGCGTAGAGAGATGGCTATTTTGTAGATCACAGAGTGACAAAGCCAAGGCTGAAGTGCAGGCCTCCTGACTTCTATCCAGTGTTTTCTGTTTACATCATTTTGCCTCTAGTAGGATGAA